CTCGTTCCAGATCTTCGTCTAGAAATAGACTTCCTTCGCGTGGCTCCTCACCACACAGCTCTTCAAGAATTTGCTGGTACCATAAGAACTTTGGTTCCAAGGCAACACATTGCATTGGGCCTTGCTCTTGGTCGTCGGAAAACTCGACGAGCGATCGATAGCGACGGCAACCGATCGCAATCCCATTGAAAATTACGGCCGTCGATTATTCATCACTGACAAAATTTCTAAGCGCTACTTTCTTATTGACACGGGTTCAGATTTGTGTTGTTTCCCGCACCGCTGGCTTCCAAGTCCGAGGAAAATCTCAGAATTTGAACTAAGCGCCGCAAATGGAAGTTGCATCAAGACGTTTGGCGCCATCAGTCTTACTTTAGACCTTGGACTGCGTCGAAGTTTCGTCTGGCGATTCATGGTCGCCGATGTCAACGCCGCCATCATCGGCTCAGACTTCTTGGCTCATTACCACCTGCTACCCGATTGTCGAACCAAACGGTTAGTCGATGGTATCACCGGTTTATCTGCATCTGCTGCTACCGCCGTGTCCGAACAGGCTAGTGTCAAGGTTGTTCTTTCAGAAAGTAATGAATTTACTTTTCTACTTTCAGAATTTTCTGAAATCACCAAACCTCCTGGACTTCCAAGAGTTGTCAAGCACAACACTCTCCATTACATCAAGACTACAGATGGTCCTCCTGTCTCTTGTCGGCCACGCCGTCTCGCCCCGCAGAAATTGATTTCTGCCAAGAAGGAATTTGAAGATATGGTGCGCGCTGGTATTGCAAGACCATCTGACAGTCCATGGTCATCTCCGCTTCATATGACTTTAAAAAAGGATAACACTTGGCGTCCTTGTGGCGATTACCGTGCCTTGAACGCCAGGACTATTCCAGATCGTTATCCAGTGAGGCATATTCACGACTTTGCCAACTGCCTTAGTGGAGCAACTATCTTTAGCACGCTTGATCTGGTAAAAGCTTACCATCAAATTCCTGTTGCAGAAGAGGATATTGTCAAAACAGCAATCACCACCCCGTTTGGCCTCTTCGAATTTCCATACATGAGTTTTGGATTAAGAAATGCTGGACAAACCTTCCAACGCTTTATCGATGGGGTCACGCGAGGTCTTGATTTCTGTTTTCCTTACGTTGACGACGTTCTCGTGTTTTCTCCAGATGAGACCAGCCACAAGGAACACCTCCGCATCCTTTTCAATCGTTTCAAGGAAAATGGAGTTATCATCAATGTCTCTAAGTGTACCTTTGGTGCAAAAGAGGTAAGGTTTCTTGGCTATATTGTCAACGCAGAAGGCACGCGTCCACCGCAAACTCGCGTACAGGATTTATTAACTTTTCCTCCACCTCAAACAGTGCAAGGCATGCGTAGATTCCTCGGCATGATAAATTTTTATCGCCGATTCATTCCTCATGCTGCTCAATATCAAGCTTCATTAATTGACGCCATTGTTTCCACTCAAGGTAAGGGCGTGAAACCATTCCCATGGACACCTGAGCTCCTTGAACAGTTCGAGAATTGCAAGAAGAGTCTTAGCAATGCGACACTTCTTCAACACCCCGTAAACGGTGCAGAACTTGGCCTTTTCACTGACGCTTCCAGCGTTCACATCGGTTCCTGTTTACAGCAGAAAATCAACGGACACTGGGCACCTCTTGCTTTCTTCAGCAAGAAATTAACTCCTCGTCAGAGTCAGTGGCCAGCATATTATAGGGAACTTCTGGCAGTGTACGAAAGTGTACAACATTTTAGACACATTTTAGAGGTCCAACATTGTACCATTTACACTGACCATAAGCCATTGTTGTACGCTTTCGTACAACGCCGAGAGAAACTTCCTCCCCCCCAACTGAACCAATTGTCCTTTATTAGTCAATTCACGACTGACATACGACACATTAAAGGGGAAGAAAATGTTGTCGCTGATGCAATGTCTCGTATTAATGCTGTGACCTTAGAACAAGATTACGAAGCTCTTGCCAAGGCACAGCAAACAGATGAAGAACTGGCGAACATTCGTAAAACCTCGTCTCTGAAACTGGAGCCCATTCCAATTCCAGGAACCAGTATCACCTTATTATGTGACACTTCCACTGGCAGACCAAGACCTTATCTAACGCCACAGTTCCGTCGATCTGCATTTGACCGCTGTCACCAACTTAGTCATCCCGGTGCACAGGCTTCCGCGCGTCTTGTGTCAGAACGCTATGTTTGGCCAAATATTAACAAAGATTGTCGCGAATGGACACGTTTCTGCATACAGTGCCAGAGAAATAAAATTTCAAGACATAATAAATCACCCATCGGACAGTTTGAACTCCCATCTGGTAGATTTCGCCATATTCACATTGATATCATTGGACCCTTACCATTCTCCAACGGATTTACATATTGTTTAACCGCTATCGACCGTTTCACACGGTGGCCAGAGGCTTGGCCAATGGTTTCAATGACCGCCGAGGAAGTCGCTGATAAATTAGTATCTGGTTGGGTAGCTCGTTTTGGTGTACCCAGCTCAATCACCACCGACCAGGGGCGTCAATTTGAATCCTCCTTGTTTCAGCGGCTGATGAACTTCTGTGGTTCCAAGCGAATACGCACTACTAGCTACCATCCATGTGCCAATGGCATGGTGGAGCGAATCCATCGCTAACTTAAGGCAGCACTCATGTGCCATGTTGATACGTGGACTAGAGCGTTGCCACTAGTTCTTCTTGGCATGCGGACTGCTTTTAAAGAAGATATAAAAGCTTCATCCGCTGAAGTGGTCTATGGTGAAACACTTCGCCTCCCCGGCGAGTTTTTGGCACCAGTGTCAGATTTTAGCAGTTCTGCAGAGGTATCTGATCTGGTTTATCAATTGCGAAAAGAAATGGAGACAATTCGACCAGTTCCTGCGTCGTGTCATGCCAAGCCAAAATCTTTCATATTTAAGGATATGGTATCGGCAACTCATGTGTTTCTTCGTGATGATGCAATTCGCAAATCGCTGCAGCCTCCATACTCAGGTCCCCATCGCATCCTACAACAACAGGAGAAAACGATCACTCTAGATCTGGGTGGAAGACAGGTCACCGTAAGCTTAGACAGAGTCAAGCCTGCTTACGTTGAAGCTGACCCTTTTAGGGACAACACTTGTTTGCAAACCACTGTTGCAGTTCCTCCAGCTCGTAGTCTCCCAGCTCCGTCCACAGCTCAGCTCCCTACCACTTCCTCCAAAGAACCTGCATACACTACCCGATCGGGAAGACAAGTACGTTTCAAAAAATTTAACGACTTTGTGAAATAGTTTTTTTTTTTGTTGTAGGTTTTTCCACTCCGTGGGGGGGTGGTGTAGCGAAATTTATGTACCTAGAATATATACTCTTTATAGTTTTCATTTTGTTTATGTCTCTGGTGTACAATGATTATTACATAATCTCTGCGAGTGAGTAGCAACGCAAGAAGATAATTTTCAGTGGTCTTGATAATTATAAAATTCGTTGAATACTTAAGAAGCGTTTAACTTCCTATATCCAAACCATCCTAGTCGAAGTTGACACTGAATATTCTGGTGAATTGAACGATGTACGCAACCCCCAAACTTGTACTTTAATGGTAACTCTTTTAAAAATTTAAGTTACTAAATAATCACATTAATATCGTTAATATTATTTTTTTTACAAAAAAATAGTACTAATTATTATGCAGGCTATTTGTTCACTTATTTTCTACTGGTATCCCTTTGAAATGTCATGGACATGGCAGTTACTAGTAATAGGATATTTAATATTATTAAAAATAAGTTGCGTATTGTGGTCATCCTGTTAGAATATAATGCCACGCCAGAAAGAAATCTGAATGAATATCATATAAAATTATTTGAAAATCGTTAGTGATATCTAGTTTAATTTCAAGAACTAATTTTAATTTTTAAATACTTACTCATTCAATATCGATGTCAAAACTTCGATATTTTATCTTCTAACATCGATATAAATCAAAAATTAATTATGATTGGTCATCCCTATTAAGGGTTCGCCTCAAGTCCGCTTTAAGGGTGTCCACTTAAAAAATATATCGATATAAATACTCGATATAAAATATCGGTAACTGATATCGATGTTTTTCGATATATCGTATAAAAACATCGATATTTTTTAAATATCGAGTATTTTTTTGAAAATTTCAATGCTTTCCTTTTTTAGGCCCACATGCAGTTAAATTTCCAAAATCTCGATTTAATTAAATCCAGACTTAGCCTTAAACTCGACTTAACTTAAATCTAACTAAGTTATCTTGCAGATCCTAAAATCATGACTAGTTTAACTAAACCGAGATTTAGCATATTATTCGTTCACCATTCATTCCTTATGTTCCGTTTTTGATGAAAAGACTAGAGTCCGGCGCCATAAAATCAGTTTAGAAAAACAAACGTCATCATCGTTTTTATCAAAACTCTATATCAACATACATTTTTTTGAAGTCGCCGCGCCATTCATCATTCATAGTTATTCATAAAGTAGAGTAAAACTGTTTATTAATAACTCAAAAATACCAATAAACCGTTTGTACTGCCGAACTAAAATAATGAAAAGATCCAGGGCACCTAATTTCACACTTAAATAAGTGGAGAAATATCTTATTATAGAAAACAAGAAAACAGATGGGGCTACAACAAAAGATTAGCAATTGGCTTGGCACGACTTAGCTACCGAGTACAACTCGCCCTAGGACGTCTGAAAATTTGATGTCATGTTATAAAAATCAAAGTGAAAATGTTGTAATGTTAAAATTTACTTTAGCTTTTATTGTCATCATAAGTCAGCTGTCAACGTTATTTAATCGATTCGATATTGTGTTATAAATGTATCGATATCCGATATATCGAATAGAAAAATATTTTTCAAAACATCGAAACAATCCGATATATCGTATGGAAATATCGAGTACTTTCGATATATCGACGATATTTGAACATCCCTAGTCCGCTTGTACGCCATTTTGTCTACGCGTCTTCCTTGCCTTCGCTTTCGGATTTCGTTTGGTGTCGTTAGTGTGATCTTTAAAGATTTAGTTTGAAAGTCTCGTGGATTTATCGATTTCAGATACTAAAGTTGAAGGTAACTTTATATTTATACAACTACATCACATATACTGCTAAATCCTTATTTTACCTATTTCAGTGCTAGTTCAAACATTCATGGTGATTCTGTTTCAGAATGCAAATGCAAGGTATGAATCATTACGGAAATAACAGAGGATTTGGAGGGCCACCACAACCTCAAAGACAGGGTGGTCGTCGTGGTATAAATAGAGGTGGTTTCCGGAACTCGAGGTTTGAACCCAATAACCAAAGGAATCATAATCAAAATCAAAATCAGAACCAAGGAGCGGGGGGTCAACGACCTAATAATGAGGTGAACATACGTGTTAATTTTTGGTGATGGTGTAGCATTGCTTTGGGAAAGCAATATAGAACATTTAGTGCAGAATCTTTCTATAGTTAGAAATTTATTACGCCGCCATTTTATATGCATGCTATTTTAGTGTGCGTCGTTAGGTTTCGTCATTGCGTTGAGAATACTGGCTATGTTACTGCGATGGTAGTTACCACTTAGATTTTGAATTGATAGACTATAATGTGCTATTGTTACCATTATCAAAGAGGCTTTGGGTCAATTGCACAAACGTCCATTACGGTTTAATGACGCCATTAAGCTCTAATGAATGTCAAATTTGTATGGGTAATGTAGCTTTAAACTAATGAAAATTTTAATGGAGGTTTGTGCAACTGGCCATTTCTCTTTCAAACAACATTTTTGATAAAATCGGATTTTATGATAAATAACTAAACCCATGTATAAAAGGAGATATGAAATATCACATCACAATTTAAGTGACCTAAAACAGTGCAAAAAATGTTGTTTTCAATATTTGATTGCGGGGAGCTTAATATGGGAAGCTAACTATGGACCTGATGGCAAATACCTTAGTACAAAAAGCAGAGTCCTTTGGTCAAAGAGGCCCTTGAGAGTCTTATATGATGTCATTTTATTTTTCCTAGTATTGAATTAGTGATTAGTATTTATATTTAATTTTTTGGAATTGCTGAATTATTTAACTTGTCTATTTTGCCTTTGCTTTAAATACAAACAGTATTACATTTTGGGTTAGAACATTTAGATGATTTCTTCAATTGTTACAATATTGCTTACCAGACTATAGCAATAATAATAATATTGATTATAATTTTTTCCAGCCAGTAAAGCCAGCTCAGCAATCGCAACCTCAGAAACCTAATGTGCCAGCAAAAGAATCAGAATCAGCTTCACAACAACAGAAGTCATTGCCAGCACAGCCAACAACTCCTCAACAGTCAAAGCCTGGTCCTAAACCCCAACAGCAGCAGCAGCAGCAACCACAACAGCAAGCTCCCCAGCAACAATCTAAGCCTCAGCCTATGCAACAACAACAAATGCAAAAAACACAAAATGTTCAATCCAAACAAGATTCTCAGGACAAAGTTGACAATGTACAAAATGTAGATCAGAAGAGTCAAGTTCAGAATCAAAATCAGAACAATCCGAATATGCAACAAAAGGTCTGTTCATTGTTATACTATGTAATCTTTTTTTTCTATTATTTGACACATTTTCATATTTAAGAGACCCTGGTGACCCGTGTAACTGGTTTCTTGCTGAAACCTATAGCAGGCACTAGTTTTTCACATATGAGTGAATGAATATCCAAATCAGAATATAGAAATGTATTCTACAACTTTGTGTAAAAAGGAATAAATCATTATATTTGAAATATTTTATTTTAGAATTTAAATGGCAACTTTGGAGGCAACAAACAAGGAGGATCCTGGTCTCAAGGAGGCCCAGGCAACAAACAGGGTGGAAACTTTAATCAAAGTGGCGGTTTTGGCCAAGGTGGAGGAAACTTCCAAGGTGGTCAAGGTGGAAACTTTGGTCAGGGCAATAGACAATTTGGTCAAAAACAAGGAGGTGGACCTGGCCCAGTACGTAATCAACAACGTAATCCTCGTGGTCCAACACAAGATGGTAAACCAATTCAGAGAGAAGAACATATGCTTGCTAACAAGTTGAAGGACTTAGTTGGACCACTTGTTGATATACCACAAATAGATCAACCTGAAGTGAAATTTAATGGTAGAAGCAGACTGTATATTGGTAATCTTACCAATGATGTATCAGAAGAGGAAATTCTTAACCTCTTTGCACCTTTTGGGGAAACTGCAGAATTATTTATAAATAAGGAAAAAGGATTCGGATTCATTAAAATGGTTGGTTAAAGTTTCTTTTTTTTTTTTTGGCATTGTTTATAGTTTTAGCAGTTTTTGATTTTCTAATTTTCATTATAGGACTACAGGGTAAATGCTGAAAGGGCCAAACGGGAGTTGGATGGAAAAATGAGGAATGGTAAAACTTTAAGAGTAAGATTTGCACCACATAACAGTGCTATACGTGTAAAAAATTTGCCACCATTTGTATCAAATGAACTTCTTTACCGTGCTTTTGAAATATTTGGCAAAATTGAAAGAGCCTATGTAAAAGTTGATGAGCGTGGAAAGACTCTTGGAGAGGGAGTGGTTGAGTACTCCCGCAAACCTAGTGCTTTGGCTGCTATTCGTAATTGCACAGAAAAATGTTTCTTCCTTACTTCGTAAGTATAACATCAGATATTTAAGTTATTAAATGAGATTTTATTGAGTTCAAATTTTTTATGAATTGTGTTTTGTCCATAGGTCACTTCGTCCAGTTATTGTTGAAAACTTTGAAGAACCTGATGAGATGGACGGATATCCTGAGAAAAATTTACCTAAAAAACATCCTGAATATTTGAAAGCCCGTGAGGTTTGTGATGCATACTATGCCTAATGCTATTCATATGTTTTTTTATTATTATAGTGAGAAAGGCTCAAAATCAGTATATTGCATTTTCGGGCATGAGTGACGTTGAGAGTGTAGTAGAAAATAATTTTGTGCTGATAATTAAGTTCATCCTATTTCTATTGTAGATTGGCCCACGTTTTTCTGAATCTGGTAGTTTTGAACATGAATATGGCACCAGGTGGAAGCAACTGCATGAACTACACCGTCAAAAAGAAGAAGCTCTGAAAAAGGAGCTAGCTGCTGAAGAAGAGAAACTGGAGGCACAAATGGAATATGCCAAGTAAGTTATTTGCTGTAATATTTAAAATTGTGATGTCTTCACCAGGCAACAAATGAGGCGGTATTAACTATTAATTTCAGAGAATCTGCACTAAGTATTGTAAAGTTTTTGCATAACAGAGTAGTTAATTTGCAGTCAGTGTAAGTTTTTATATGGAAGAAAACCTGAAAACCTGATACCTTCATGTAGCATAATATTCTTATTCCTCATATATTTCACAATAACTGTTTTATCAGAATCAAATCTTATTAATTTGCCTTGTGAAGACTTAACGAAAGATATTTTGTTTATGACCGAACGCATACGTCCATGACATACGAGTGTGCTAACGGTGAGGAGACGTGTGCGCGCACCTCTCTTCTGGTCCTTTGTGCGCGCATCAAACGCGTTTTTATCGCGTTTTACGTACGTTCGAATCTATAAAAACGCAAAAATAATCACCTACGGCACACAAAACGCGCATTCCCGAAACACACGTCTTCTGCGCGTTTAAATTCGCCACATGATGGGGGCCTTAGAAAGATGTTTGTTTAGATATGAGCACGAGACTGAGTTACTCCGGGAGCAGTTGCGGCAGCGCGAGCAGGACCGCGAGAGGCAGAAGCGGAGTTGGGAGATGGCGGAGCGCGCGGCCGAGGAGCGGCGCGAGACTGAGCGTGCGCAGCTGCTGCGGCAAGAGGAGGAACTGTCGCAGCGCATGCGCATGCAGGACGATGAGCTGCGCCGGCGGCAACAGGAGAACACGCTATTTGTCCAGGTACTTATCCTTATCCTTACACTCCTTCATGGTCAGCCAGAATGTGCTGAAGGCTCCGCTGGCAGTACATTTATTATTTGTATTTTATTTATTTAATTATTTTTCATTTATTTATTTCTTATATTTTGATTAATTTTGCATTCACAATGCCATACTAAAAATTATTCTTAATACAAAATGCTTAAAAAATCCACTTGGTCCCTGGCACCCTGAGATGGGAATCGAACCCACGACCTTTCGTAATCCGGGAATCAATTTCTTTTCATTACAAAAATTACATAATTTCAAGCCCAACAAAACTATATTAACAGTTTGACTGTGGGTGGGCTAAGAGTCTCATTTTGCGTTACATATAATGCTACTGAAGGATTATGCACTTGATTGTTAAATTAGATTTATTCATTTACATACATGCTAAGTATAATAAGTGTTACAGTCTATCTATTAAATAGTTCTTTAATAAGTTGGACAATATTCTGAGGTTACTTTCATGTCTAATATTGTCAGGTAAGCTATTTAATAGATATGGAATTCTTGTTTAGAGTTGTATCTCCATAATAATTGTTAACTCTGGGTACTACATATTTACCTACTGCAATTCACATCTTGTTTCAACATTACATTATTAAAATTACACATTATTTAAAAACTGATGTGGCATAAATAAAGTAATCTTTATAATGATACTTTAAATGTTGATATTACGAGCAACAGATTGATAAGATACAGCGTGAAGACAGATGGACAGACAGACAAACGGACAGTGGACCACTAAATACAGTAAGGAAGAATTGTTTTGTCATTTCATCTAAATAATGTGAAGTAAAGTTGGAACAATTATTCAAAAAGATTGCAATCGGAGGTGTGTGAATCTTCGATTTGGGTTGTCATTTAAGTGTTAAAGTTACATATACTTTTAAAGTAGTTAGTGTAGACTTGACATTAATAATTTTTTGACAGGCTCAAAGACTGAATTCACTCCTGGATCGTCAAGAACAGGGCATGTTTGATCAGCAGCAGCCAATGGTAAGTTGCACATAATTATTATATGTGGTGACCCTGACAGTTGATTAATTAATAATATCGTTTATTTGAAATTCGTGAAGTATTATAAACTTGTTGAATTCATGTTATAAAAAAATTATTTGATCTTATTTCCACAAGTCATGGAAACAACTACTCGTTCCAAATTAGTATAGTGGAATTATATACAATTTTAAAGTTTTAAGCCTTCAAATATTGGAATTCTCATAGAACTATAACTATAAGCAACTATACATATATACTGTATGAGAATCTCTATTATTATACCATGTTCATAAATAACAAAAATTAAAAAGTCACAGATTTTGTATTGTTGTACTGTTGTGGTTAAGTCTACTCAAAATGGTGATCAAGTTATTGTGGTCTAACAATTACATTTTAAACGAATATATAACCAAGAAACAATGACAATTCTTTTAACCTTAACTTTCATATTTTATGAATTATTATTTTAAAGTAATCTGTTGAACTTAACTCTATTTACTAAGCACAATCTTATAAAATTTTGACAGTCGGCAATTTTTCTGCATAATTTAAAAATGTTACTTCTATAAGGCAAATTAACTGTTTCCAAAATATTAAATTTGACATTGTGGTAAAAAAAACATTATGTTATGTAATTAGGTTGGTACTAAACCATTTACTTGTATGTTCACAAAACAAGAAATCTGCAAATACATAATAAAACTGCAAATACAAACTCGCTACCTGGCCATACAAATTGAGGTCGGACGGCCGGTACATCGCATTTCGTAGTAATTTGTAGTTTTTATAGAAATAGGATAATACATTTGTGTTTAAAAATTTGAAAATATTATTAAATTAGTAATAATTATTCTGGTATAAATTTTGTTCAAAAATATTTGTAGATTGAAGAAATTCACAGTTAACTTATAGCTACTTTCGAAGTTTTTTAGTTAATATTATATTTTTTTCTATATTTTCATTTGTTAACATCAAGTAGCATCCAGAAAATCTCTCCACAAATTAGGGTTTAATTAAAAAGTTATGCTCAGCTTCCAAAAAAGCGAAGCAGCTACAAACCAATACTTATTCTGCACTATTCAATAAGACTTAATTAGTAATATTTTTGATTGCGAGATCAGGAATCCAAAAATTGACCATTTCAAGCAAAAAATCACAGTTTAAATGTAATAGGGCTAAATGTAATTTAATACCTTAAAAAAGGATCAATGGTTAAATAAAGAAAGAATTATTTAAAGCTAAAGATTCGTTACTTTGGAAACACCATGGTTCCACTGTCAATCTTGTCACCGCCTTTGGAATACGGACTGTGGTATTACACTTTTTGTTATATTAGAACAATCTAACTGATCCATCGAATTTAGATAGACAGATGAAGCATGGCAACATCAGATGAAAGATAATACCTACTTAGGCAACATCAGACGAAAGATAGTATATAGTTAAGAAAAATGTAAAAAAAATCTTGTTTCGATTCCTAAAAATGGTTATATAAGGCGATAACCTTAAAGTTAACGTATAATGTTGCTGACTGCGGCATTTGATTGTGGAAACTGAGCGCGGCAGGCTACGAGTGGGTCGCGGATCCCACTGATTAGTATGAATGAATTTATATGGGAATCACTAATCTGAACAAAGACCGAGTCGCAGGACTATGCTCTCTTGCAAAGTTCAGTTCTTCATATAAACTCGTATAATTAGTAGGTCACGTGAACTAGTCGCGATCGCCTCCATCGGAATGTGTTACCTTTACCTTGCTCCTATTATTGGCTCGCTGATTGTTTTACTATACTATAATCTTAATCCAATTCTCATGAAAGCTGGCATTTTTTTAACAAAGGCAAATATTCTGTCAAATTATGTTCCTTTGAATAATTTCATATTTATTCTTCAACATAATATCTACTATATTTTTGGAATGGATTTTATTAATTCAGCACCTTATACTATATTTTATTTTGGAAATGCGTTTGAAAATAAATCTCGCCCTTCGTAACAAAATATTTTATATGTGGCATCAATTTCTATGATACTAAAAACACAGTTAACTTTGTATACTGTAAATTGTCGTTTTATGAAAATCAACTAGTTCACATACATTTTGAGATAATGTTAACAGTGCATACAGACAAACTACGATACTCACTATATATAGGTGGCACCCTATATATAGTGAGAATCGTATCGTGTTAACATGAGATTCTTTTTGAGATTTTTGTTACTTTCTTTCTGCAATAATTGGCGAAATTTATGTTACAAGACTTGCCTAGGCTTTGTGCTTCTAATGATACATTCTTCTATTAGGCTGAACGCAGATTTGAATCACGTTAGTTTTAAGTCGTTATCAGGTAGGTCAACCACGATTTGACTCTTGCCCTTCGAGACAATTTCATGTGTTGATTTAAGACTTAAAGCGCATTTATCTTGCGTTAGCAAAAAAAGACTTCCCTTTCAAAGACAAGTCTGTCTGAAAACTAAAATGAAACTATTTTGTCTACTACACATCACACATACCTAAAACGAAACTGTTTTGTCTTCAACCACGATGCGGCGCTTGGGCGTGAATATCGTACAGTACACAGTTGTTATATCGAAGTGTGGTTCAAAACACCAGTTCGGTTATTAAATAATGATATTGGAGTTAAAAATGTCTAGCGAAGGAACTAGATGGGTAGGGGGAAGAGTGGGGTATGGCGCTAGACTAATTGAACGTTAATCTGCGCGTCCGCATACATAAAAGTGAAGCCAACAATCGTTTAGTTAGATTAGACAATTTAGTGTATAAGTAGTTTTGTTTGAATTTTATGTGGCTTTGTATATTTTGTATAGCCTTTTCCTAACATTATCGTGACTCAAGTCTGCTCACAACTTTATATAGATAGCGTCTGATAGCACGTACTGACTAGTAAGCACAAGAAATAACCAAATAGAATATACATTATTACCAAAACATTAAATATCACGCATGAATTGAACCTAAATGTAATGATGATTGTGGTACTTCCTCGGAGCTTTTCCTTGCATTTTTGCCATTGTGGAATGAAGTATTATTTTAAGTTGGTTCTTGTATCTACAATATGCGAGCTTGGTTAATTTCAGTCTGATGTTCAGAAGCTATGAGAAATTGTCTTAATACTCTGCGACTGGTTCTAAGCTGTTATAAGTTACTTGTCACAATAAGTTGAATAGAACCGTGCAGCTTTCTGAAACAAATTTAATAATAGATATGGAAAAAAATACCTTTACTAAAACAACCGGTGCAGAATTTTATTTAAGTGGTAGGTGAATTTTTGAAATTCGTCTAAGCCTTGCTTTAGTAATTTTTTTTTAAACAGTACATTTTTCGAGAAATTGATTACCTAATATTATATTCACATTACAATATTCATTTATAAGTTTATAATTTAAGATGATTTGTCCATGGTTGTGTTTTCTTTGACCATGAATTATTTCTTCTATACCCACTTATATATAATGTCACTTGTAAACATTATGCAATTCTAAACTTATTTGATTGGACAATATTGAACAATATTATTTGATTGGATGTGTTTATGTGATGGAATATTTCATTGATCCACTTAACCACAAATATTATAATGTAGGTGTAACGAGACCTACACGCAGTTGTTTTTCTGCTTAAATGTATTTAGCTTTTCTTTTATTATAGACAAGGAATACAGTATAAAAATTTACTCATTTAGAAAGATTGATACTTACGACTGATTTGATCATCGCATGCGAAAAACTTAACGGATATAGAGGTATCACGATCTTATTTTGGTTTTATTTGATACTACAAGATGGAATGATATAGTTTTCCATATTGATTCATATTGCTTCAGTATTCATACGTTAGCGAAGCCAGTCATTATTGACTGGTCAATGCGACGAGTAAAAAACGATATGTGAAGTATTATAATACTGCCTCGTACTTTATCGTAGAATTATCAGTTTGAAATTGGAAGTGTAAACCTCTTAACATATCAAAGTTGATATGGATATTACATAGAAACCACCGATTACATAGTATTTCTTGTTATGAGTGTAGTCTTAACAGAGTTTGCGATTGCAAATAAACAAAATTCGGTCGCTTACTTATCGATCGTTATTGAAGTTTCTACAATGAAATGTTTTGTAACAAAATACGATGTCGCACATCGATATTCGTTAATGTCGTAGCTATCGAGATAGAGCGAGATTGCTCGCTATAGTCTGCCGATTATATGGTGATATAGATCGTATCAACATCGAAAGAAAACAAGTTTATATTAAACAGTGTAAAAGTAAAAGATTGAAATAAAGATAAATAAAATACACGTCATAAAGTTTACTACGTATTAATAAATATATCTATAAATAGTATTTACTATGTATGCGATGATCATCAGATATAAATACAATTACAATTGTTATGTTGTAGTTTTTGTTTGTTTTTACAACAGAAAAAATATTCATCGCGTATGTGTATATTCCGAGAAAATAAATATCATATTACTGGGAAAGGAATAAAACATGCAGGTGGCTAGAAAATATAATACGTATAACACACAATATTTTTGGGACGTGAAAACTATTAGAAAGTATTATGGTTTATATAGGATGGAGGCTACAGAGACCAGTACGACATGCCACGTGGAGGTTATGACGACATGAAGCAGAATCGTGGTTGGGATGGGCCTCGACAAATGGATGATTTCCCTAACAAACGTCGTCGTTTCTAAATAAACGAAACTAAACATGTCAAATAAGGACCTTAATTGATCTTTATGAAGTAACTTATATGAGAATTTATAAATAAGCATTAATAACGGGAATATTATAATTATGAAAATTAATTCATCCATTTTGAAGAATATTAGTTAAGGCGTTTTTATAATTGCGACTTAATGATCCCGTTATTTTTACTTATAAGATGCTACGTTGAAAGGCATATTGCCTTCATCAGTATCGCTTATAATGATGTAGGTAGATGTAAGGTATATTCACAAACTTATAATACATTTTCTGTAGAACAAGTTATCTCATAATTATATGTTAGATTTTATATATACATTAAAATTAATATTCAATAAAAGAACGAGAAAGTTGATACAAATATAAAGCTTATAAACTTGGAATCTAATATCCATAATATAAACTCGAAAGTAATTAAAACGGCGTAGGAAGATTTTTTAATGGTAAGAGCTGTATGGTTTTAAAGAATCACAATTATATTTGTCTAAATAACATTAACGTTTACATCACTTACTCGAAAACAATCTGCCTGTGCCGTTAAACAATAGCGGGAGATCGGCCATTCATTATCAAATCAATTTATGTAAACGTTTCTGCGTAACTTTAGTATTATTATAATGTACAACTAACATTTTAAATCCTACCCACCTAAAATAAGAAATTGAGAATTTTTCATTTGTCACGTCACTTGTATTTATGATATATTGGCGCAAAGCGATTTTTCTTTTTTCATCCTTGCATAATTAGCATTGTATAATCTCACTTTAATATTGCAGTTTTGAAATTATCGTATATATTTGATATTTAAATGTAGTTCTATCTTTTCCTTCGTAATGTTAATACATAAATTTATTTTAAAATTTAAAACTTTAAGATTAGGCATTCATTATTGTGTTTGTCTGCCAATAGTGTGTAAGATATTTGTGCGCAAGTAAAAAAAAAAAAAATAGTACATGTAGTGAGTGTGGACGGATTATTTAATATTTAGTAATTCTAAATGTCTTATATTTAATAAATTAGTCTTATTATCAATAGCGGTTTTTGGTTTTCATTATCTGCGACTTATTACTTTATCAGGAAAGTTATAGGTTTTTACCCTGTTGGCTTAATAATCACGGCGATAGTTTCCTATTAATTATTTTATAAATCGTTTGAAGTTGTTGATAATTATGTTGCGAATAGAAAGTATTGTGCTATGGGCACGAATTAACAAGTTAGATCGTAGTCAAAATCTTGTTTAACTATACTTGCCTGTATTTAAATAAATCTGGGCACCTATAAATTGCCTCACTTGGAAAGGAATCCTAATACTCTTGGATAGGAGTTAAAATCTTTAATGTAAATTTAAATAACACATGAGTAGGGTATATATTACTATCGACCGTGCACCTGTTTATACCTGGCAACCTGATAATTGTCCTGGGTGGAAAGTATTTTTATTTATTTATTATCTTGACACAATTACATGCATAAATTAACATAGTCCCACAACCAACCACCCAGGTTTGTTTGTTTGGCAGTGAGTCTCTTTAATTGTCGCTATAATTGTTTGCTATAAAAACATTAAATCAAACAATGATAATTATGAACAAACACACACCGTATATTTGTGTTGCATACATACAATACTTATAATCCAATACTAGCTATATATAAGCGTCATGTTGGTAATATACTATTATATATTTTTTTAATTTACTTTTATATATTTTCTTGTTGGGTTCATTTCTAATTATCACTGGTAGGCCGTTTAGTAAATTCGGTAAGCGTTTTTCTAATGTTTTGTCGCCTTAATAATTTAAACTCTGGGTACTTTGTATTTACCATTGATCTTGTATTTGATTATTAACTAAATAGCTCACGTTGTGCTCTATACTACCGTGATGATTTAATGCTAAGAGAAATTTATGTTGCAATGAAATTGGAAGAATATTATATATTTTAAATAATATAATTTATTATAATTATCTTAGTATTTCGGTTTTGTTTTTTATTAACTAATAATTAAAGAAACATAACTATAAAACATAGTAAAATAAAATAAGTTAGACCATAGCAATCGAGTGCATAACAAGGAACAGGATGCACCAAAGACATATAAATACATATTAATGTATCAATTGGTAATCTGAAGCTTATATGATAAAATGTATTTTTTAGTTTTCCCGAGTGCGCTGCATTAACGGTGAAATGTACGCAAAAGTCACATATTATGAAATTGATCCCCTTTAAAAGTTCTAAAAACTCTGCGGCAGCATATCACACTCATCGTAATTATTAAATGATTTAAGTTTTTTACGCAGGATTAAAATTGTTTTGAATAATTTGGATAGGTTCAATCGTTGCCGCTAATATTAAATGCATATTTTATGTTGGTCAGGTACACGAAAATGTTACATTTAGCTGACGCTACTGTACTTTTCAAGCGGGATTTTAATTTTTGTTATATTTGTAGTCTTCATTTCTTTTTTGTTCAATTTGCTCATTTTCGTTCAATTTAGGTTTTTTCTAATAATGTAATTTTATAAGGAATTATTAATCGAAAAAATTAAAGGTTTTGGCTAGATGACGCTAATGTTTGTTGTCTTTATTGTTTTTTTAGGTTTTTATCAAAGTCGCTTTAATTTTTGTTTCCGATTTTGTGTAATTTTGTGGTTTAATAGTCAACAAGGAACCTTTATCGTTTCATCATGTCCGTCTGTCTGTCCGTCGACCTGCAGTTTAGCTCGACGATAAAAACAATTTTCATTAGAAAGGTGTAATTTGCAATATGTAAACTTATACGATATTTCATGATATGATTTTATTTTAAATAATATACATAATTTCTATTTTCATAATAATCATAATAACTTCATTATTATATTTTATATTTATTTTTTTTACGAACTGACATTCATAAAGAGCATATTTGAATAGCCAATATTTCAAATTACGAAAGGTGAAAGATAAAAAAAATGATGTTGAATATTAAAGACAAAAAGTATGCATGGTGAAACCTAGGAAAAATAAACGGTGGTATGACACACCGTTACAATGGTACGGGACCCTTTGTACACGAGTCCGACTTGCGCTTGCCCGGATTTTTTAATTATATATTTTAATGGAGAATTAGGCATAGAAAAAAATAATATATAGGTGACATTAACGATATACATACTTCAATACTTAATCGAGGGGCGTTAATTATTTATGCAAAAAATGTACTAAACTACTAATTAATTATGATTAAGAAAATACTTGAAATGGTAGGAAACAATTTTATTTAAAATAGCAACTTAAATTCAAAGTATCCGAATTAAATTATAAATAGGGCGAAAAAAATACTGGGTGGACGAAGTTCTGACAGAATATCCGTTGGCAAAATTCAATTTGGCGTCATGCGCTAAAAATCTCTAAAAATACTGAATCGAGAAAGCAAGAAGAAGCTGACTGTTAAGTTGCTAAGCAAAGATCAGACTGTTTTAAACCTTTAAAATAAAAGTCTTCATCTAAAAGTTCAGAATAAGCACAGTAGTCAAATATGAGGTTTAAGATCTTTATTTAACTCATAAGAATTTAACATTCACTTACATGAGTCATATAAATATAATTTTCACAAATATACATAGTTGGGCTTGCATTTTCACTAAGTACACACAAAATCAAAGATAACACCCATTGAATAACATTATTAAACGATGAAGGTAGTTTTAGTCTCATACACAAACATAAGGAAAACACTGATACGAGCAGTGGCACGAGTGCATAGCAACTGCAAGCGTTCGTTCAACTTCGTGATACATCGGTAACACTCGGTAACGTACTTCGGCAAGATATATCTATATCCAATCAAAATTACGGCGTTATCATTAAACTATTTTAATAAAGGACCATTACTTCAAAGAAAACGTTTGTATATTTAATAAGGCGTGTTGATTCTACTGCGCTCTTACATAGAAAGAAGAGCAACTGGACTATTCTATGAAAACGTGCGAGATATCCACAGAAACACCGGTAGATTTTTCTTATTTGATTCCATTTATGGGGCAGGCAACTATGGGTTAGTCCCAGCAGTTTGGACGCATGTAAGCTAATGATGATGATATAAAGGTCGACGTTTATTGGCAGATGTTTAATTATGATTAGTTAAACACTCCAGTATAACAGGCCAGTATGCACACAGTACCCTCGAACCACGTGGGAAGAGTCGCTGGTCACAGCTACTCACATAAATTTATGGGTCACTTTATATTCCACACAGCACATTTTCGTGTGTCAGTGGGAAAATAAAACGGAAAGTTGCTGCGACAGAATTAAACCCTTAAAAATCGGCAACTCGCCCGTAGATTTTATTATTAATTGTCAGCTAGCCTATTGCTTGCCTTGCTGAGAAACAGATTTGAAAGGGATGACGAATCTTAATATGCGTCAAAAATGTATTTTTAAAGCTGGGACTGACGTAAAATGGCGATATTAAATGTGATCGTATTAAGCTGGTTTTACTGTATTATATAATTATTATTTTAGGAATGGAGTAGCTGCAGAGATGTATATTATTGGTCTTCGACTAGGTTAACTATGTATGTAAAAGAAATATCTGATAATATAATCAAAATAAGTAAATATCTTAGCTAATAATGGACGAAAGTAACACTGCCAGTTATAAGAATCAGTAGTTTATTCCTAACAACTTTACATACATAGTAACCTAATTAATGTGCTACTGCACATTAATACCATGTTTTTTGTGGTAACGTAATTAATGTGCTACAAATTGATTACGTTACTACAAAGGGCCAAACTGCAACCAATTTGGAACTTAACCATCAACAAGCCTACACATGACATGCTTTCTATGCAATGATTTGAACTGTGCTGTGATAGCCGCTTTGAACAGCTGTACTCATTTTGTGAGTTATGTCGCTGACTACTCTCAAGCACACGACTGTCGTCGAAGTAAAACATTTTTTCCGTTGAATAATACATTGATACATATGTATACTATAATTTTCACTGAGTACCTCTGAGTACCTGTACACAGCAACTGATTTTGTCTATAGAATAAGAAACGTTTTTGTCTATAGAATAAAATAAGTTTGGAAGAAACTTGAATATTTTACCCAACTGCAACAGGAGTGTTATGTTTTTAGAGTACGTAGATTTCTATGTACCCATAGAAATACAGCTTGGATTTGGCTAACATCAAAATTTGCAGTATTTATTTTTGCATAAAAATGAAGAAAACTGGGCTTTCGTGCTTTTAGATTTTTTATATTTTTTTGATCGTGGGATATTTACTCCAAATTAAAGCAGGTAATGTGTATTATCAGTAATATTTGTATAATTTGCTA